TAATACAGACTCCCCGTCTTTGGGGACAGTTTCTAAGAGCAGGAGACTTTGTTTTATTTCAATAGGCTTGAGAGAGAGAGAGAGAGAGAGAGAGAGAGAGAGAGAGAGAGAGAGAGAGAGAGAGAGAGAGAGAGAGAGAGAGAGAGAGAGATGGCTGGAACAACAACTGACCGAGTTCCCGTCCATTGGCACTCTCAAACTCTCGAACCCCACATCTCCCGGTTGAAGTTCCGGGTCCTTGACCACTTAAGGCTGGGACGGTAACGGTCTACCCTCAGCCTGTGACTGAAGTGCTACAAAATGGCAGCCTGAGTTTCAACTGTATTTGAAACTCGGGCCCTCACTGGACTGCAAAAACGGTGTTTGAAATGGATTTACAAACGTTTTTGACTCCGCCATAGTTACCTCTATATAATAACAAAGAACTGGAAGGGTGGTTTTCCTTGTTTTCTTTTTTGCACGTGGGCCTTGCTAATGTTCTGTGTATCGCTCCAATTTTAACAGATGTCCCAAAGAACCGAGGGTGGTTTTCCGCAGGGTTTCAGAAAATATGTGTCTGTCAACAGACTGTCCACCCACCTGGATGAAAGCTAACATTGGTAATGCAGCCATAATCATTCCATTGATGACTTGATGAAACCGCGAAGTCACCTCCAATGGCAAAAGTTGCTCCAGGCAATGGATCATACAGCGCCTCAAGGAAGATTTCCGCAGTGGCAGGCTCCTCCCATGGATCGGCAGCACCAAAAACCTCCCTGTTCGAGTGGGTTACTGTCCATCCCTCCTCCACCAGAGGGATGATGAACTCCTGGGGATTCCCAGTCACAGGCTGAGGGTAGCGCCGGCTCACAACGAGGTGCCTTTTCGATTTTGGAACACCAAGCCTGATCCTGGCGACCTCATACCCCTTCAACATCTCAGGAGGAGCTAAGGGCAGGTACTGCCAAGCAAAGAACCTCACTACACCTCCATAGGCAAATGGCGATAGCAATTGGTCTAGGAAGTCAGACGGTGCCACGAAATACCAAGTATCCCCCTCTGTGGGCTGGGAGGACATTGTCATATCGCCCATGCAGATATAGCCCACGCCATCCTTTCCATACCACTTGGGGCGAGACCGATGTTTGTCAAATACATTCCTCGAATACATGGTATTTCCCTCAACGAGCCATGGCTTCTGTACGTAAAAAGACTCCATGGGGTTAGGCATCGTTGTTTTCCACGTATCTTCGTCATTCAGATAATAACAGCCAGCAAATTGGCCTCCACCCAAAACTGCAATCAGCACTAGCGCAGCAATATGGACAGGCAAATCCATGGGCAACAATTTTCTTGTCATTTAGAGTAGCAGCATCAGTAGAAGCCATGTCCCCTTATGCAGCCATGCTTTTGCAGTCAGCTACCGGACATTGTGGAAGAGAACAGGAAATGAACGGTATATATCTCAGCAAGGATTATGTAATTCAGTGACATTTGTCAATCTGGCACATCATCGCGAACCAGAAGAGCACAGTACCAACTGTCAGACTCAGCCAGGATTTCCAAACCCTTATGATAATGGGTGGGTATATCAGGCACCTTTGCTTGTTCTTTGCCGTGGACTGGACACCCCTCCCACCCAGGCTGACCCAGCCATGGAAAAACAATCGACCAACATGGATAAAGGTGTGAGCAGATAACAACCACGAGCACTAAACTGGCATTCCATTGAAACTGACTTTTTTTTTTAAGTGCATGAAATTAAATGACCTGCAAGGAGCCATACAATGAGAACACAAAATCTTTTGGATGCAAAAGGTCAAAGAACACCAGTCAGGGTTACAGGCGTTCGTCTGGGGCCGAACAGCCGAGCGTTCAGCCTCCCTTGCCAGGGCCTCTTTGTTCGGCCGAACGCCGGTCTTCTTCTTCTCTTTTTTTTTCCTTCTTTTTTTTTTCCTGGGGATGTTATGCAGGAGGCTTTGTCTCCCCTCCAATCATTCAAAAACAAAAATTGTTATGCGGGAGGCTTCCTCTCCCCTCCGATCAATTAAAAAAAAAAAAAAAAAAGATTTTGGGCGGGGAAGGGGAATTCCTGCTGAACACTGTCCGCCTCCCTCCCCCCCCCATCTGTGTGTGTGTGTGTGTGTTTTAGATTTTCCCCACAACAGCCCCAGTTCCGCCCAGGTGAATAGATTCAGAATCGAAGCAGTCTTGGCGTACCCCTTTCATTGTTCTTGCAGTTCCCCTTTTACTGTGCCTATTACGCGCAAGGCTGCCCACGTTGACTGTGGTTGAGCGGCAGCTGCCCACATCCCCGTGTGCCTCCACGGCCCACTTGCACGTTATTTCAGGAGGCAGAGTAAAAGGGAAGGTACGCTCCTGTGCATCTCTTCAGAGCTTCATACTCCTGTCCATATCATTTCAGATCTTCAGCTTATACAGCCTTTGTGTCCGTCCTTCATCTTCATACTTCCGTTCATTTCATTTCTGATCTTCATATCGTCTATACTCTTAATGATGCAATCAGACTCGACTCACTCACACTCTTCATGCATGTAAACAGCGATACAGCAAACTGGCGACATGCGCCCACACAGTACTCAGCGATATCGCAACCAGATAAGAGTTCTCTTGTAATTGGCTATGGCGGCTGTGCGCCCAAACAACTCACTGYTCACACTCTGGATCACCCTGGATGTCCCACACGCATCACTCGGAACACTCACACAATACACACACACTGCACTCTAAGCTAAGCTATGGCAGCTATGGCTGCCGCTACCTATCGCTATGGCTACACTACTTCACTCTCGCCCACTTCGTCTTCGGGCCTCCTGCAGACCTCCTTGCACAAGACGCTGAGGCAGCGCTTCCGCATGGTCTCCTCATGAATGAATGAATGGCTGGGCGCAGCCTCTTGATTTACACTTCTGTGATACGTTGGTCTGCCCTGTATCCCTTGGCCCATAGTGCGCACAGTCCCAGACGGTACTTGCTTGACTGGACCGGACTGGGTGGACTGGGACTGCTGACTGTACGAGGTGGACTGCCACCACTTGACCACTTGCCTCTGCCTAACGTAGGCTGACTCCGAAAGGCCACTTCTAGAAACCTCTACCTTGGCCTTTYGGTACTGTAGCAGCTACGACTTTGCCCTTTCAGGTAAGTAGCAGCTACGACCTTGACCCTTCGGACAGTCTACAGCTACGACCTCTAGACTGTCTAGACTCCTACCCGACAGGTCTACAGTTCGAATCCCTGCTACCCTGTGTCCTACGAAATCCTACCGACCACTGGCGGTCCTACAGGTCGCAGGTTCAACTCTACGGGTTGACACAGATACTGTACACAGGTGTGTGGGGAACTAGGGATCGAGCCCTGGGACCTGCATCAGCTACTGCAAACCGGTGAATACTGTTTCACTCCCGCCGGCCTAAATCCGAGGTCCTCCGAGAAAATTTCAGTCCAAGGCAGGACCTTTACCTTTCCTATCTCTTTCGTAGGCTCAGACTATGTCGGGAGCCGTCTCTAGGAGTTCAGATCTGGTAAACCACCAGTCGTCTGCTGGTTCTTGGTATGAAAATTTGACTTTGTATTGTTTCTGAGGACGACCTCTACCTCCTGTTCTAAACACATCTTCACCTACAATGCCGTCAATGTCGTATCTCCCGTCCATGTCAGGTGGAATCATAGATCGCCTGGATGGAAACTGATCACTTACTGTACATGGCAACAACTTTGACGCATGAAAAACTGGGTAGGTGTGGAGGTGTAGTGGAAGTTCAATGGTGTAGGATGGACCATCTTCGCCACCCTTGACTTCTAGAACTGGCCACGGGCCTCTGTACGTAGGCAGTAACTTCTGCGAGATGTTCTCCTCAGGTGYAAACTCTTTAGAACTGACCCAGACTAAGTCGCCCACTTGGAACTGTGAGGGGCGGCGATGCTTATTGGCTTGCTCTATCATCCTGTGCTGGGCCTTCCTGAGGTTTTCCACAACGGTAGCTAGCTCTTTCTCGTGCTGCACAGCAAACTCCCTGGTTCCGGGTGGCAGTCTGTAAATCTGATCCCGGTTGAGTCCTTCGAATGGTCTACGGGGCCTAAARGACTTGTGCAGTTCGTTGGGAGTGCGGCAGGTGGACAGATGCACGCTATTATTGTACGCACTAGCACTTTAGGCAGCATCTCATCCCAGTTGATCTGATCTGGCCTAATGTACATGCGCAGGACTTGCTGTAGGATCTTGTTCATTTGCTCTGTCTGACCGTTAGTCTCTGGATGGTGGCCGGACGACATCAACAACTTAGATCCGTATACTCCCATGAGTTCTTGCCAGTTCTGGCTGGTGAAGCGGCTATCTCTATCGCTAACTATTGATAGTGGGACTCCATTCTCGCTAAGCCAAAAGTCAAAGAACTTTTGTATCACTAAATCAGTACGTGCCTCTGAAGGCAAAGGAACAAAAACTGCGTACTTACTAAAACGGTCAACTATGACCATGACTTGGCTCTTGCCATGCCTGCTCTTGACTTGAGTGTCCATGAAGTCTATGGACACTGAGTCTCCCGGCTGATCTGGAATGGGCAAGGGTGTGAGAAGACCTGGCACGCGTGGAAGTCTTGTTACGCTGGCAGACTTTACAACTGCGAACATACTCTACGCAGTCATTCTTCATCCCTGGCCAGGTGTATGCGCGCATCAGGTTGGCTAAAGTCTTTTGCCAACCAAAATGACCCTTTGTGTCATGGCATTCTCCCAGGATCAGACTACGGATCTCTTCGCTATTGGGGATGCACAATCGGTCAAAGACATTAGTCTTCTAAAAAAGCAGCCCTTCAGTAGTGCGGTAATTCAGCTCAGTCTCGCGGGCCTCCCTGACCCTCTTGAGGAGGTCACTATAGATAGGGTCCTGCGCATAGGCTTCTCTAATCTTCTGTTGCAGGTCCTTCCCTATGTCTAAGTAATGCACTATTGCCCCAAAGTAATCAGCTCTCCTACTCAGAGCATCCGCAACTACATTATACTTTCCTTTGACTGGCTTGAGCTCAAAGTCGTACTGATCTATCTCTGCGGCCCACCTAGTAAGCTTAGGTGTCATCTTGGCCTGCGTCTTTAACCATCTCAACGTCTCATGGTCCGAGTAGACTTTGAAGTGCCTCCCAAGCAAGTAGCGCTTCCAGTGTTCTAACGCTTGCCTGAGAGCATAGAGTTCCCTCTCATAGGTAGATGTCGCAACCTTCTCTGAAGGCATTCTGGCGGACATGAACTCTATGGGCCTATAACCATGGCCACCGTCTTGCTGCAGAGCAGCACCTATGCCGTATTGACTAGCATCCGTAGTGACGACAAAGGGCAAGGTCGGATCGGTGACCTTAAGGACTGGGTATTCTATCAACGCCTGTTTCAACTTCTTCATGGCAGATGTGCAGTCCTTATCCCACTTCCAGATGGTCTCCTTCCTAAGCAATCTGCGAAGGGGCGCAGCGATAGTGGAGAAGTTCCTTACGAACTTCCTGTAGTAGTTAGCTAGGCCCAAAAATGACCGCAACTCTGTCAGGGTACGTGGTGTGGGCCAATCTCGAATCGCTGCGATTTTGCAATCCTTTGGCTTGACGTCGTCTCCGTCTAAGACGTGGCCTAAATATAAAACTTGGGTCTTCGCCCAATCGCACTTCTTTGCATTGATCTTGAGGTTAGCTTCCCTCAGCTTCTCCAAGACCTGCCTAAGATGACCCTGATGCTCTTCAAGGGTCTTACTAAACACTAAGATGTCATCTAAGTAGACTACAACAAATTTGTTTAACCATGGCCTAAACAAGTCATTCATACATCACTGGAAAGTTGCTGGCGCATTGGTTAGTCCAAAGGGCATCATTATGAACTCGTAGTGCCCATATCTAGTCCGGGAGGCTGTCTAACACTCATCATCAGGATGTACCTCTATCTGATGATAACCGAACTTTAAGTCTATCTTAGAGAAATACTTGGCCCCCTGCACTCGATCTAAAAGATCGTCTATCCAGGGCAATGGCTCAGCATTCTTCACTGTAATAGCATTCAGGCCCCTATAGTCTATACACATCCTCAGCTCTCCCTCCTTCTTGGGGACAAACAGAACAGGTGCTCCAAATGGAGACGAACTGGGCCTAATCCAACCCTTCTCAAGGAGATCGTCTAACTGCTTGCGCAGCTCCTCTAACTCCCGCGGGGACATCCTATACACAGCGCCCTTAGGAGTTCTACTGCCAGGCTCTATCTCAATACGGTGCTGGATGGGCCGCGGTACTGTTCCTGTCGGCGGTTCAGCTAGGTCCTTAAACTCTTCCAGCGATTTGGCAATAGCAGGGTCTATAGGCTTTTCTTCTTTAGGCTCAGTGACTGGCCTAACATAGGCTACGAAAACCTGTTCTTCTAGCTGCTCCTTTTTCACTAATCGTGCAAATGGAGTAGCACTAAGGCAGCAATGTGCCAAGGAGTTATCTACTCCTGACACATGGTACAGGCGCGCAGTCTTGACGTCACCTGACGGACTAGGGAGCCTACACTCATGCTCCCTCAAGTGGAGTGTGGCCCCGGCTGCCTCTCACCAGTCCATACCCAGGACTATATCGAATGGGAGGCTATCCTCTACGAGGAGAGTCAGGGAATGGAGAACTCTCTCTACTTTCCCATCCTTCTCTAGGCGAAAATAGTCCTGGACTCCCTCTACGTAGTCTTCTACTCGCATCGTGCGATTATCCGCAAGGATACTGACTACAGGGTCTGCTAGTTTTTGGACTTTTAACTGCAACTTCAACTTCTGTAGCGCCTTCCTACTGATGTAACTACGAGTGGCTCCACTATCCACTAAGGCGCCAACTCTACCTCTAAAAATCTCTGTATCTATCAATATAAGCTGCCCTTTATTCTCCTTTTTCATTTTAGCCCAGGCGGGCATCCTCTCCTTCAATTCTTCGGCCACGCCTGTGAGGGAGGTGTCTAGAGCGACTCTAACACAAGCAGTCCTTGGACAGCTGTCTCGACACCGGCCCGCAACCTCTGCCATAGGCACATGTGGTGTGGGAGTCTCCTGCCGGCTAGCGCTATTTTCCCCACATGGCCTTGTGGTAGGGGCAGTTGCTACCCCTACCGGCGGCTGCCTTTTGGCCCTTGAGCAGTCGTTCGGGTCTCTCGATACTGAGAACAGTATTTAATGATATGGCCCGGGTCACCGCAGAAAATGCACTGGCCCCGGTCCAATCGCTGTTGCCATAAACTCTGGTCCAGACCCAAAGTTTCCCAAGGCCTACCCTGCGGTAGCCCTAGGTGCCATCCTCCTACCCTATAGGGAGACCTGTTCCTAGGACGGTTTTGCGGGGGACCTTGACCCCTTCCTCCCGCTTGGCGGTTTCCTCCTCTGCCGCCAACCCCCTGATCGCCCTGAAATCGGCTCCCTGAGGCCCGGGCCCCTTGGCCCTGGCCTCGTCCTCCTCCTTGCGGCCTCCCTCCAGCCGCGACAGCAGCGTAAGTCCTCCCCTGGCCCACACCACTGTCCTCCTCCTCTAACCCCCACTCAATCTGGTCGTAGGGGATCTCATCCACACTACCTTCATCTAAGGTCAGGACAAGGCTATCCTTGGTTTTTACCTGCCCTCAGATAGTGCGGCCTTTCCACTTCTTGCCTTTGTCCAAGTCCTTGTGCCAGAAAGTGGAAACTGACACGGACTTTGCCTCGAAGGCCACCACCTCACGGCTAAGGGAATCATAAGTGGTGGCAGGGTCTTCGCTCTTCGCGAAGAAGTGCCCTCGAAAGGCTTCGGGCATAGCCCGATAGAAGAGGGCAACCAACTGGGTGTCTGTGACCCCGTGGTCAGGTACAGCCACTAATTCTTCCATTGTGCTCTTGAGTGCCCTGGCACTCTTCCACTGACGAGAGTGGATTGTCTGTAGCCTATCTGAGGCTTTGACACTGCCAGCAACATCGACGAATCGCTCGCGCAGCAACTTCAGGAAATCGACGAGCGGAGTGAACGACGAATACGCAATTGCATCGTCATTGCAGTTGGCAGCACAAACTAGGGACCTTGCGAAACTGGCGGCCTCAACTCTAAGCGCGTGGATCGCAATTAGAACATGCTGATCCGGGGAGACCTGTTGCAAATGCACATAGGTCTTGACGTTGGCCTCCCAGTTGTCAAAGTTCTCTTCCCTTTTTCCACTGTAGGAATCAGGGAATTTGACTTGGACAGGCTCCCGGCGAGGGCGTGCTTCCTCCTCCTTGGGAGCTGCCGCCTTGACGCCTTCAATGGCGCCGACACAGAACCGCTCAGTCTTCTCGAGGCGATGGCCCACCTCGGTTCCTACAGCGCCTACCAACTCGCGAGCAAAGTCCCGGAATCCCAGTCGTATCGAACGCACAGCTATATGTTGACTCCTACTGAAGGCATACTGCTCTGCCTGAATTCGTGCTAGGCGTGCAACGTTTCGGGCTATGACCTCCATTTTCTTTGGGAGTTCAACCTGGGCGGCTAATTGCTCTTCTATCTTTTTTACCTCCTCTACCGCCTCTGTTGCCGCGTCAACTCTCCTCTTCTTCTCCCTCATCACTGCCAGTTTCCACTCCATCCTTTTCTCATCTTCTAACGCCTGCCGCTTCACAACATCTTTTTCTGCGTCCCATTTTCTCATAGCGGCTTCCTGCTCATCCTTGGGAATATACATCGCCATCTCTTCTTCTTCGCCCAGTGATAAGTTGGCAAACCACTCCGAAATCCCTTTCTCCATCTCGTCATCTCGGCTGCCACTGTATTGCCCTCTCTTCCTTTGCAGTGGCATTTCATCTTCTTCCTCTTCCTCGTCCACCTCCTTCAACTTCTCCTCTTCTTCCTTCTTCAATCTCTCTTTCTCCCTGACCATCTCTTCCTCAACCTTTTTCAATTTGGCCGCCTGGTCCTCCATCAAGGCCTTCTTCTTGGCCTCCTTCTCCTTCCTCTCCTTCAGGATGGCGACCATCTTCTCCTCTTCCTCCTTCGTGTACGGTTTGGTGGACGTGCCACCCCGGGTCCCTACTTTACACGTGAAAGCAGTGCAGAACCCCAGAGGGAAGAGGAGACGCTAGAGGGTCCCCCAAGGGGAGAACCCAACAAGCAACCCATACATCGGATAGTCATCCATGGTGGTGTCAGGTGCACGACAAGAGTCCCACTCCTCACCACTTAGACCTACCTGAACACTAACCTACTGACTGACTCTCTAAGGTCACTGACTCAAGACTACTCTAAGGCTGTCACTACTGAACCATCAGCTGAACTGGAGGCATTTAAGGAGATCCCCCAAACTCCACAAGAATTCTTTAACGTCGCAGACAGGACGACGTGATCAACTGGGTTCTTGCCTATGCTTTCAACCCACAACTCAGCCTTTCCGGCCTACTGTGCCACACCGAGCAGCCCGCCGGTCTGTACCGGTCCTTGAAGGGGTTCGTGTCCCTCAGGACAGTCGAGTCGTCAGACACAGATCATCAGCCTTACTGGGTCCGGTAGGGGGGTGGTTCAAACAGGCCCTCAATACTTAAAGACTGCCTGGTGTGTCAGCCTTAGCTGCCGTTCAGGCCTACTGAGTCCTACCAACCGTTTCCAGCCGGTCAGCACCGGTCCTTGGGAGGGTTATGCCCCCCTGGAAAGTTGGATCAGCCACAGTCTTAGCCCTACAAGGTCAGATTAAGGTTTCATCATCCAAGCACTATCCTTCATACAC